TTAGGCAGACTGTGGTTCCATAACAGGGGGAAAAAAGAAAAGGAGAGGTGGGAAAAGGAAATTAAGGAATACATACTGAATTCTGGAAATAAATCACTGAAAAATGTTTCTAAAAGGGAAGAGATAATTGGTAAATTATATTTATATTATGTCTCTTTAGAAGCAGAACTGCCCCTAAACTTATCATCCCTGCAACTGTTATATAAGGAAAAACTATTTATGAAAGAGACTTCTTGCATTTTCTTTATTGTATTTCTACTAAATAAAAGCAGACAGTAATAGGATCCAAATATCACTGAACAGCCTTACTGTCTCTGTGACAGGAAGTTTTGAACAGTGTTCCAAGCTCTCCACCTCCTTATACACTCACTATTGTGTCAATTCCTCTTCTCAAGTATGGACTCTTATCTAGTGACTCGCTTCTAATGAACAGAATGCAGCAAACGTAAGGGATGTCATTTCCACAATCACGATGCAGAACACGGGACTTCCATCTCATTAATATATACAATCTCTCTTACCCCTCTTTCTCCATCACCCTGCTGAAGCAAACTGGCATACTGTGAGATGTTCTCTGGAGAACTCTTGTGGCAAGGAGCCAAGATAGGGCACCAATCATCAGCTCATAAAGAAATGAATCCTGCCAATATCTAAGTGAGTGAGTGAGAAAAGGGATTACTCCCAGTCCAGCCTTGAGAGAGGCGTAACCTTTTAAGAGACCCTGTAACAGGACCAAAAGAAGCCATACCTCTAGATTTCTGAGCCACAAAAACTGAGATAATAAATGTTATCTTAAGCCACTAAATTTTGGGTGAATTTGTTTGTAGCAACAGGTAACTAATATAGTCTTGATTCCTGAGCTTTTGTTTGTTTTTGGTACTGGGGATCAAACTCAGGCCCTTACATTTGAGAGCCAGGTGGTGGAACCACTGAGCTAAATCCCCAGCCCTATATAGTCTTAAAATGTTATGTAGCCAGAAAGTAATAAAGAATTAAGAATGCTGTTGAAAATTCAGTATATATGCTGACTGAATGAAGAGTTATCATAAGGGGAAAAAAACCCTATAGTTCATGTCAATTAGTATAATAAAGTATCCAGAGTCATACAATACACTTGTCTCTGTAGCTAAAATATCTGCTGCATTTTTCTTTTTTTTTTTTTTTCCTTTATTGGTAGTTCTGGGAATTTAACCTAGGGCCTTTGCACTGAACTACATTACCAGGCTTATTTAGGGGTGGGAGGCAGGGTCTCACTAAGTCACTAAGTTGCCCAGACTGGTGTCAAACTTGGGATCCTCCTGCCTCAGACTCCCAGAGTTTTAGGGCTACAGGTATCCATCACCATACCGTGACTGCTTTATTTTCTTTCTTTCTTTCTTTTTTTATTTTTAATTTTTTGTATTGTTTGTTGAAACAGGGTCTTGCTATGTAGTTTAAACTGGTCTTAAACTCACTATGTAGCCCAGGCTTGCCTCAAACTTGCGGCAATCCTTCTGCCTCAGCCTCCCAAATTCTGGGATTACAGGTGTGCACTACCACACCCAGCTTGCTCATATTCTTTAATCAATTGAAATCATATCTGACCCAAAATACTGGCAAATTTCTTATTATTCTAGCAGACCTTTAATAGAATAAATGTTTCTATAATAGAGATGACTTTTTGACAATTTAAAAACATTTATATGTTAATATATAACAAAATCCAAAAGATTCCTGGGTACAAAATTATTTCTCTCTCAACTGGATCTTATAAAATTGCTATATACCTTCTTTGCTGACCACATAGCTAATTGTGCCTCAAACGTCAAAAGACTCCAAATTCATACATTAATGTGAAAAAAAAATCATTATTCAAACTCCAAGTTAAAGTTTTAGGATAAGACATCCATAAATATTTTTTTTAAGACAGCTAAGTTGGGTCCATGGAGCATTTGTCCAAATTCTTCATTCAATAAAATCCTAGTGTTTCTTGTGTGCTATGGTAAGTTCTGGGATATGATAGTGAAAAGATACCTTAACCGGTAGTTCAGCTTATGGCAATGATTCAGTAGCAATAGTCTGAAACTAAGGAATCATAAATCTGTTTAATAATATTATTGTTTAGCCAGCATTTTTCTATCTTTGCTAAAGAATAATGTGAAATTGCCAAATGCTTTGCTAAAATTCCACTGGAGTAACTTATGAGTATGAACAATATGCCAACACTAAGACTACAAAAATTAGTGAGGTATGAACCTTGTTCTCAAGAAGGTCATAATTCTGAGAGAGATAAACTGTACACTGGCATTCCTCCAATATACCAGAATAGTAATCCCATAAAAATGAGTCAACCTATACTTTATCTTCTTATTCTTAGCTATATCCTGCTGTAAAATTAAAATACATCTCTTCTCCCTTAGTGTTTATAAGTTGCAAATATTAATGGACTTATGTCTCTCTTTACTATTTCTCAGCCAACATGAATACATTAGCTCTCTCCTTTCCTTTTAAAGTAGTTCCTCACTATAATCTTTATGGTGACTTTATTTAAATTCTCTACTTCTGAACTAAATTTTAGGATTCATATTATATAACTAAAATATTCCAGATAAGAAATCAATCATAATAAAGAACACTGACCTTTTTGGTTATATAATGCTTTGTGCGTGAACCTCAAAATACATTTTTGAGGGGTGCCGGGGATCAAACTCAGGATCTTGCACTTGGGAGGCAGGCAGCAGAACCACTAAATCCCTGGCTCTTTTATTTTCTTTATAAATTGTTTTGGTTATATTATTGGACTAGTGTAACAATAAATTTAGTGAAAATTTACATTTATTGTAACTGTTTACTTTTTTTTTCCCCCTCTGGTACCAGGGATCGAACTCAGGACCTTGCACTTGCCAGGCAGGCACCAGTACCACTGAGCTAAATCTCCAGCCCCTCTAACTCTTTAATTGTATGATTTTTCCAGGTATCTCACAGCAAATGAAAATCTGGAGGTGGCGAATACTCTGAAACAACATAACTAACAAATGGTAGAAAGCTTGACTTCGTATAACAGGAAATGAACCCTTTTTTAAAAAAAACTAAACAATGACCAAAACAGCAATTCTACTGTTAAGCTCATGAAAAATAATTTTTCAAACATCTCCATCATTCTCCTTTTAACAGTATATCACATCTTATATCAGTGATGACAAACCTTTGAGAGCTTTCAATGGTAATAGCCCACTATTACCATATTGTGCCATAGGTTCGCCACTCCTGTTCTATATTCAATATTTTGCATACCTACCTTCCTACCTACTTCCTTCCTTCCTTTTCTCTAGTACTGGGTATTGAGCCTAGAGTCTTCACACTGAGCTATATCCTTGGCCCCTTTTATTTTGAATTTTGAGTCAGGATCTCTCTAAGTTGCCCAGGCAACTCGGATCCTCCAGCTTCAGCCCAGTAGCTCAGATTACAAGTGTTTACCACTAGGCTTTTTTTTTTTTTTTTGATACTGGGAATTGAACTTCAGCTTGTGAGGCAGGTGGCAGAAACACTGAGCTAAATCCCCGGCTCAGCTTATATTTCTGTATCTACTACAGAATATATTTATAAAGTAAACATAGAATTTCAATATTCTACTCCAGAAAATACTTTAGCAAAAACCATGACAATGTGATCCAGTTATCGGGACTCCTGATCAGTGAAAAGAATTGGGGAGGCCCTTACAGACCAGATGGTTTAATGTTTCAAATCTTTAAATTAGAGTTACTTGAGGAGGAGAAGCATTCAGTAAGAAGTGGGTAAATGTCTGTTCATTTCAGATGCCCATTTTTGGATTGGGTCTTTAAATTTGGGAGGTCTGATTTTTTTAAGTTCTTTATAGATTCGAGATAGTAGACTTTTGTCTGAGGGACCGCTGGTGAAAGTTTTTTCCCACATTGTGGGTTGTCTCTTCACACCATTGGTGGTTTCTCTTGCTGTGCAAAAGCTTTTTAGTAAAAAGTGATCCCACTTGTTGATTGTTTGTGCTAGTTCACAGGCAACTGAGGTTTTGTTCATAAAATCCTTTCCTACACTGATGTCTTCAAGGGTTCTACCTAACCTCTGTTCCAGCCAGTTCAGCGTTTGTTTTTATATTTAGATCTTTAATACATTTCCATTTTAGTTTAGTGCATGGTGAGAGATATAGGTCTAGTTTAAAGACCCAATCCAAAAATGGGCATCTGAAATGAACAGCCATTTCTCACACAAAGAAGTAGACATGGCAAATAAATATATGAAAAAATGTTCAACATCACTGGTCATTCGAGAGATGCAAATGAAAACAATGCTGAGAGTCCACCTCACTCCAGAAAGAATGGCTGCTATCATGAAATCAACCAATAACAAATGCTGGCGGGGCTGTGTGGAAAGAGGAACGCTGCTCCACTGCTGGTGGGAGTGTAGACTGGTGCAACCACTGTGGAAATCAGTATGGAGATACCTCAAAGAACTAGACTGGAAGTCCCATTTGACCCAGCTATTCCACTGCTGGGGATCTTCCCCAAAGAATTAAAAGAATCATACTACAGTGATACATGTGGACCCATGTTCATAGCAGCACAGTTTGTAATAGCTAAAATTTGGAAACAGGCCAAATGCCCATCATCAACTGGAGACTGGATAAAGAAAATGTGGGGTTTTTATAAAATGGAGTACTACTCAGCCATCAAAAACAAGAAATTAGAGACATTTATTGCTAAATGGATGCACATTGAAGCAATACTCTTAAGTGAAATAAACAGTATACACATGTGTAAATACTGAAGAGTTTCTCTGGTGTGAGAAATTGAAAGTGTGAATAAGGACTAAAAGGTGTAATGGATGATGTGAAATAGGAAGAAAAGGGGCAAAGGGGAGGGGGAAGTAGGAGGGGTACGGGAAAGGAAAGAAGGGAATGGAATTAATATGAGAAAAAAAAATAGAAACAAAGTCTTTGTGCTTTTCCAGTTGAAGCATGTTCACGCCAACTTGTTGGCCAGCCGTACCCCAATGTGGCTCATGGTTAGACTGGATCGATGGCCTCTGATGGACAACCTGCAAATCCAGCCACACGAGCTTACTCTGTGAGATGGCTGCCCAGTCTCCATCACGCTGCTTGAGTTCTTTGACTTCATGTATCCTCTAGCTTCGTGTGGCATTAGGGTCTATGAACAACAATCAGGTATTTTTATTGAACCTGCAAATCATATATAATTCCAGGTATTTATATTTTCCTCCCGTCTACCTCCCCGTAATGTGCTTCATTCCAAGAAGGGTGTCAATGAGCTTTATAGTAAGAAAGATCCTACAATTAAACAAGAGGGAGCAGGACACACGTCATCACTGTCAGGTGAAATGGAATACCCAGGAAGACTTCTAGCTGCGTTGTCATGGGGCAGTTGTCCCTTGTTGGGCCATAGAAATTTTACTACTTCCTATTATGTGGATGGATTTAAACTCTAATTCTGGGGCCATGAAGTGGTCTTATCAACCCTGGTTGCTTGGCTCCTCAGATGTTGGACAAATGTCTACGGTGATCATCTCTGAGCACTTTCAGCATGACCTTTTAAAATGAAAACTTGGTGTTCCATCCATATTTACGAAGTCTTTGGGAGAGGGCTCCTCCAGATTTTAAATTTGTGATAAAGGCAATTTTACAGAAATAAACATTTGCCATTCTCAAAAATTAAAAAAAAATTAAAAAATAAAATGTACCAATAAAAGGATATACAAAAAAAAAAGTGGACAAAATCCAAACAAGCACCACACTAGGTCAGAATCACATTCAACATTATGTTCATGCTATGGCTGAGGAAATAATCAACAGTGGTGGTTTCTCTGGGGGAAGTGGCATCCATTCTGTTCTTCTCAAACTTTTAGTTCCTTTAAAGAGACACCCTGTGGGGCTGGGGATTTAGCTCAGTGGTTTCGCCGCCTGCCTTGCAAGCGCAAGAACCCAAGTTCGATCCCCGGTACCAAAAAATAAAAAAAAATAAATAAAGAGATAACCTGTGATGGTTAATCTTGACTGCCTCCGGAGACAGCTAGACAAGGAAGGCATACTTCTGGATGTGTCTGGGCTGGTCATGAAGTGTGACCTTGGAGACTATATCTGGCCCCTGACCTTTCTATGGGCTCTTCCCCTGCTCCCTACTTCCCAGATACCACAAGTTAAGCAGCTCTCCTTCACTGTGTCCTTCCACCATGTTTCTACCTTGGAGCTAACAGATCACAGACTGAAACCTTGGAAGCTGTGAGCTGAAATAAACCTCTCCTCTTTTAAGTTATGGATGTCAGATATTTTGTTCCAGCAATGGGAAAGTTAACCAAATATTCAACAAAACTCTCTAGACTTCCCAGTTATCCATATTGGAACCAGTCAAAACTACATACTCTTTCTGAGACAATCTAAGTGCTTTTGCCCTCAGATTTTTTTACATTCAACATCCCTTAGATTTCCTTCATCCCCTAAATCTTTAAATTCTACTTATCCTTCACAGGGTAACTCAAATGCCAACTGCTCATGATGCTTTCCCTTATCCCCACACTCAAAACCTCTTTGTCTATAGCCACAAGTCACATTCTCTCTTACCCATCTCTGACAGTGCAATTTAATTGTTTGCATGTATATTTCTTCTCTTGGACTAACTGCCTTGAGAAGGACTTTGAGAATGTCTTGTTTGTATTGTCCCTATCTCTCTCTACTTTACACATGAGAAATTAATAAAATGTTCATTGTGGACACTATGTTCAAATATTCAATCCAAAACAAGCTGCAATAATCAATATTCTCACTGATATTCATTCACTGAATTTCCTCAACACCTACTGTGTATGGAGTAGTGGTGTCCAAAAAAGGATCAAACACATACCATGCCCTCTAGGGGATGATCTAAGACATCTATATAAATTATAATGCTAACAGCTAAGTGTTCATAGGAAAATAAATATAAAAGGAACTAGCAACAAAGAGAAATTATTCCTAAGAAGAGATGGGTAGGAGGGCAAATTTTAATGTTTGTGTTGAGCTCTGAAAAACAGGTAGTATTTGAATATGTAGAGACAGAGGCAAAGAGTTTTAAGGTAGAGAAAATAAAAGCCATCGAGGTAGGAAACTTTAGGATACAGAGAACAATCAATACTTCAAAAGTATAACATAAGTGAAAAATAACGGAGAGAGAAAAATTTCAAAGGCATTTGGAGTTAAATGTGGTAAGACCCTGAAAGCAAAAATAAGAAATTATAGCTTTCATCTATCAATAAAAAGAGTATTCCAAAGTTGTTGAGCAGAGGCTAAATAAATAGCTCGTAAGTCTGAAGTGGACAGAAAAAGAGGAAAGGGATTGTTGAAGAGAAAACAAGAAGGTAGTACTACAATACAAGAAAGAAGAAATAAGGGCCTAAAGTAGGAAGGAAGCACTGGACATGAAAACACATGAATGGAAGAGATATTTTAGTGATGGCACTGAAAGAACTTGGCAAGTTTTGGATATGGAGTACAAAGAAGGCTCTGCAAAGAGGTAAGAAATATTGCTAGGCTAGGAAGAGGGTGGTGCTATCACCAAAAGAGAGGACACTGAAGTAGCAACAAGTTTGGATGGAAGAAAACTGAGCCCTGGTCATACTTTTTTCATTTAGGCAACAAGATCACAAATAAAATGTGTTTAACTGTTCCATCTAGGACAAGATATAGAATTTGTGAACCAAGAGAGAAGTACTCAAATTAATCTTCAATATAAGATTTGGGTCAATTATTTAAACATGATCATAACCTTGAAAATATAATGGCACACAGTGACTACATTAAGAATATAGCAAATTAAAATCTAAATGCCATCTATGAGACTGATCTAGAACAACTTCATATACCTAAGGACCATTTTAAAACATGATGATTCATTTGATCCCTGTTACCAAAAAAAAAAAAAAAAGATG